GAGCTAGATTGAGGCTGGCCCTCTATGGATGGATGGAGCAGGTAGGAAAAGGAAAGAGAAGCAAGGATCCTTCTTTTACCCACTTTGTCCCTTCATGGGGTTCAGTCACAATCTCTCAGGGCTAGTCTATATTATAAAGGCTATCCTTCTTGTGCAAACAGAGCTTATACCAGCAAAAGTTCTTTTGCCAGAACAGTTAAACTCTCTCCCCAAATAACAAGCTATACTGGCAAAAGCACTCCTTGTGGTGGTGTAAGCTGTGGCTACATCGGGCGTGTAGTTGGCATAGTTATGTTGTTTAGGGTTGTGTTTTTCCCCCCCACATCCTGACACAGCCACTCTGGCAAAACTTTGTAGTTTAGACCTGGCCTCAAACATACAGCTAGTGGCACCACCAATGCTAGGGTCAGTCTGTGTGAGCAGTTGCACTGGTTTAACGTTAGGAGTTACTTTAAACTGGTTTAGTTAAACCAGTGCAGACGGCTGTGTGTGGATGCTCTTATTTAGGTGTAAGCCACGTTTATTTCCAGTTTAGCTTAAATTGATTAGGACTTGTAAATTGATTTTTTTACTGACTTAAGTTAAATTGAAACAGGAAAGTTTGAATCCGAAGCGTCCAAAATAAACCAAAATAAATGTGCGCCCACACAGAAATTTTCACTGGTTTAGCAGAACCACTTCATCTAAAACTATTTAATCCAACCAGTACACAACTGTGTGTAGACAAGGTCCAGGTCTTCAGAAAGAAAGAGCAGGGGTTAAGACATGATCCTCTACTGTCCAGGTATGAAGAGGAACACAAGCCAGCTCTTCAAAGCGTGGTGCTGCTGTTGCTCCAATATGCACTCCCCCCAGAGCCTTGTCCTGCAGCTCCTGCTGAATTGAAGCTCTCCATGTACGTCCCACAACATGGCCAGTGGTTTTATGAATCACTGGTGCACAACTTCTAAAAGAGCCTTTGTGGATTTTGTTAGGAACACACTAAATAAAAATATTTAGGTTGTTTCATACTGCAGTGCATTAAGAATGTAAATGTTTTTCCATGAATCTAGATTAATACTAGCAAAATATTCTAAATCATCCTTATGAAACCTGAAAGGAAGGATTGATCCCTGTAATGAAGGCTGCATCTGCTTAGCCACTCTCAGAAGAGTGGCTAGACAAAATATTTTAAACATACGTACAGCATTGCATAAGCAATTATAGAGGGAGTGGTGGTAAAACAGCCTGCACAGTAATACAGAAAACACATGGATTTTTCTTGCAAAATGTGTCTCCTATTAGGTACGGCACACTCAAATGTTTGCTGTGACATAAAGAACAAATAGGGTGGGTTAGAGCTTAGAAGGAACTTGGAAAAACTTTTCGTGTATCTTGGTGATATACCAAAAAGAGTGCTGGTTGTTTGCTGCTAGAACATTAGGTCACTCAAAACTTGGGTATAGCAAAGTATTCTCATCTTAACTTTTCAATGTGTCTCAATACACACACATTAATCTGATCCATGCCCCCATATGAAAGAAATCCCCTATTTTTTTTGAGCGAAAGGCAAATTATATGAAAGGAAATTTCTGATTTTAAGGTTTGAATATACTGATCTCCATAGTATCCAGGTCCTGAGACTAAAGTACCTAAATATTAAGGGGGAGAATTTCAAAGGCACAAATGCCTTTGAAAAATCTCTCCCTATATTTTACTTCCCAGAAGAAAAATTAAAAAACGCAATCCGGCACTGAGTATCATGACAAGTTAAAAGAAAAATAAAAAAATTCTGAAATATTTCATTTCATGAGCTGCTTTATTCATTTTAAGTAGAATTGTTCTCCAAAGATTTATTTACATAAGATCAGACGTACAGGGACACTGAAGTAAAAACTACTGGTTAAGTGCAAATCAGTAAATTTTTTTTTTAAAAAAGAAATTGCCTCATAAATTTATGGCAAAATGGGGAAAAAAGATCAGTAAACTCAATTACTGTGTAGTAGCACTTTAAATATTGACTGGTTTCAGGAGAATCATATCTTTAAACTGCAATTGCACAAATGAATTTCTCACCTACTTGCTGGAGAGATTGTTTATTTGCTAGCCTACCTGATATAAATGTATATACCAAAGAGTCACACATTCAAATTTGATTCTTCAAAAGCCAGAGAAATGGCTATACAGCCCATGAAATTAAAACTGTGTACAGCATCAAGGATTGCTTTCACAGTTTGAGTATCAATGGGACGTATGATCATATACAGAAAATATAGGTTTTTAATCACATTTGTTAACATACAATACTAACAATAATGTTCCCAACATACTAGATATCATTCAGATAAATCAAGGCAGAACTGGAATAATTTATATTTCTAGTTACTCCATCATAAAAAATAGATTCTTGGGATTCACCAGCTGAGAAGCCCAATAGATGACCACAAATGCAGCAGAAACAATTTTAGGATCTTCATGAGCCTTCTGCACACGTGTATAGAGTGTGATAAGGCCTGCAAAGTGCTGCATCCTCAGTCTCAGGACTGCTGCTCTAATTGCTTGCTGTGATTCGAAGTACTGCTGACAAGGGACCCATCCAATCTCTACTCTAAGTTGTTCCGGTAAGAGAATGGTGTTTTTTCCGAGCACAGGAGTGGCAGCTAGGAATTCTGACCATCTCTAGTTCTGGGAAAGTCACTTACTCTCTGGGCCCTGTATACTCCGTATGGAATGTGTACAGGCCATAAAGGGGGTATAGACTGCCCCGGAAGATCACACCTCTTTGCAGGGGAGTTCTCAGACCAATATAGAGTTGGCATAACAGCTCTGCACAGGCTTCTCAGTCTGACCCTGAGAAATGAGAGTGTGTTGGGGTCTAGAAGAGGCACAAGTGTAAAGCACTGCAGTCTGGCTAGTCTGTATCGGTGCCATGACTCTTTATGGCACACAACTTAGAGTAGACCTGGCATGCTGTAAATTGCATGGGTCGGGACAAGGTAGGGACTCTTAACTGGGACAGAATTAGGGAGTCAGAAAAGTGGCTTTCCCTGCCCATGCCACCTCCTCTCTCCCTCATGCCCAGCACAGGAAAGGGTACTAAAGAATTTGGCCTTCTCTCTCAGCTTCCCTTTCTGTCAAATGGAAGTCATAGTACTTCTTGACCTACTTCACACATTATACAAAATGATATTTTTCTTAAAACATAAATGCTAAGTATTGATATTAAATTTTTCTCAATGCTTGCTACGGGAATGTTAGATCAAATCCTGTGATGTGCTGCTGATATTTTAACAATGGGTTCCCACATCTTGCCCTTGGCTTGTGACGTGTGTGTGCTATAAAGAGGAGGGAGAAAGGACTGCACAATCTATTCATTTGTTTCCCATTTAAACAAGAGTGCTGTGGAATGAGCCAGGGCCAATGGCAATAGACATATTAGACTAATTTTACTGTACATATGGATAACGTAGCAGCATTCAGCTCCAATGAATTAATGGTGTGGGGTGGAGTTCTTATAGGGAATTTTGGGACAGGCTCCCATGGGATTTTTTTAAAAAAAATGATACTTAACATTTGGTGGAAAAAAACATGCTCTTCAGAAACATATTTCTGAGCCCCAAGAATAAACCACCTCTGGCAGGGATGATTCAGCCGGGTCCAGAGAAGGGGTGAACTTCATTTTAGGAACAGAGAACCCACTAGGGTGACCAGACAGCAAATGTGAAAAATAGGGACAGGGGGTGTGTGGGGGGTAATAGGAGCCTATATCAGAAAATGACCCAAAAATCGGGACTGTCCCTATAAAATTGAGACATCTGGTCACCCTAGAACCCACCCCAATCTTCCCTGTCATTTGGTTGTCTAAAAAGTGACTCAGAGGAACTGCCTCTGACATATCACTGTTCGACACTCACCAGGGCAAGTTTTTCAAAGGTTTTAAAGACTCTTCTCATATTAGTGAGACACATATAGTGATGTCACATGCCAGTGGTTTTGGCCAGTACTTTAATAAGGACTGCTAGCATATTGCTGAGGGAATTACAGGATGCTGCAGTTGCCCTAGACTTTGAAATTTCAGGTATGCATGCTGCTGACAACTTAATTGACACGGAAACCAGGACTTGCGTATTTAGCGCTTTCTGAGTTATTCTAGGAGGAGGTGATCATGTGCTGTTTTCTTTGGAGCGCTCTTTCAATATTTGACTTTTGCGGGGGGCTTTCATTGAAATAAATGGCAGTTTTGTCATTGACTTCAATCTATATTTGGCACTTACATGGGCCCCATTACTGCAGTATTGGAGCATCTCACAATCACAGCACCCCATGAGAAACAGAAGTGCTATTATCACTGTGTTACATATGATTAATACAGTTGCTAGATTACGGTTGCTAGATTAAGTAAAACTCAAGCTAGTTTTCCAGATATTTCATACAAAGCATCTCCTATTTCTGACCTCCTGGGTTTGTTTATTTGCATGCACAATGTTGTCGTGGAGAGATGAATGACAACAAGGGAGCAGTGAAGCAACTTTTGTAGCTCGTGCTCTTGCTGGCTGAAAATACACCATTAAAAACACATGCATGCTGTACCTTTAAAGCTCAAGGGACATACTGGGACATGGATTTTTAGGTAGAATTTCCAACTGAAAGTGATTTGGCCCACAGACATGAAAAACAGCTGTTCTTTTCTATGTTGAAAACTATCTACAGAAAGAACAGTTAAAAATGTGATAAAAAACCAAAATACAATAGAAGTCATAAAAAAAAGTAACATTTGCCTGCCCCACACAATTACCAAACATCTCCTTTTTCAAATACAGAGAAAGAATGTGCCAATAACTGCATAACGGTATCTGAGGTAACCGTTGGCATATACTAGCAGTTTAATTGTAATTGCAGTGGAGCACCAGTCCTGCGAGAAGAAGAAAGGTTAATTGATTGGTGTGGTTCTGGATTGGTGAAACACTTACTGAGTTTAAACAAACCATTATCTTAAATAAAAATGAAAGATGTTGACTTACCAACTCTAAGAATCTCCTCACTACCTGTCTTTGTTTTAAATTGGTCTCCCCATCCAGGTTAGCAGTTTCTATATGACACAGCCCATCGGGGTCACTTGAAGAGAGCAGCAATATGTCAGCAGGTATGATTTCATTACAACGAAGCTGAACAAAGTCGCCAACTTCTACTTCTTTCCAATATCTGTTCATATATTTCTTTTCATTCCTGACAAAGAGACATGTACAGGAAACACATCAAAACACTGACCAGGTAGGGATGTCTCAGTCTAGTCTGTATGGATTTTAGGCTGGACCACAGAGTATTCATGAGAAATCACCAAGGTATTCTCAAATTCTCCCTCTTTAGAAAAATTAGATGGCCACAAAAATGGTGATGAATAGGTCATGTGACTGGATAACAATTATTAAGAACTAGATCACAGGCTAGGCTGTGTGGTTTGGTGGTGGCATAAAAGAGAACAAGTCACCTTCCTTTCAGTCTCTAAATGGCCTACCTACCTTCTGGGAATGAGTACATTGGGGTAAATGGGTTCTGTACACCCATTACTCCTACCCTTGACAGATGGGTTGGCCGTGGCTCCTCCTCCATCACAGTGCATGAATCAGTTCAGCTTAACCAGTGCAGGGGTGGGGGTTAGTTACCTGCTATTGATGAAGGCCAGTAATAGATTTGTACCCCACCTCCGGGGTGAGGGTAGGACAGGAAAGGAATTGGACAGGCCTCTCTGAGGCACAATCCCTTCCTTGCACTGTTCCTGAGGCACCACAGCTATGGGCCACCCATCATAGCTGCCCAGTCTAGCCTTCAAAAGAAGTAATGAGAATATTTGCACACATTGTAATGCAAACCTATAAAAAGTCACTAACATCTTTGGGAAATACTGTTAAAGAAATCCAGCATACAAGTGTTTTTCCTCTCCCCACTGACTACTAACAACGGCTATGACTTATAAGGATGAACTTTGTGTGGTGCTGCATGTGAAACTTTGACCCAAGAGCCAAAAATTCACAGCCCAAATGAATTTCAATAAAAAAAAACCCACTAAGCTAGAGTCACCAAGGTATCTCTGCTGAAAAACGCAGCCACAAATATAGTGTGGGGAGAGGACATTCTTGTTTCCTTAAAGTGCCCTTTTATAGTGGCACATTAACTATAGTGGCATCTGTTGTACAGTTAATAGTCTCTCTGCCCAGCCATTGTAAACCTTCTATTTTGCAGCCAAATTTCTTTGTCACTTCAAAGATTTATCTAGTTGAAACATTAACATATATGTTATTAATCTAGATCTGCTCATTCAAGCTCTCTATTTTTTTTAAAATGAGTTATTTGGTAACTTTTTTTTGTGAAGAGCAGGGGGAAAAAGGAACAAGTGCCTGCTTAACTAGCTCTAGTTAAAATAAAATGCTTTGAAATTTTTAAAAACAGCCAAAATATTAACTTTGCAAAACACCTCTGCAAATGGGAAATAGCTACTTCTGACACTTTCCTAAACTACCAGAACATAACAATTAATGAAATAACACTGCACAGTATCCTAGATGTTTGCCATTGTTGTTACATTGCAATTGACACTGCCATTATTCTTCCTTGACACCATCTATGCCAACAGGATTATGAAAGGGAAAAAAAACGTTGCCATTTTATGTACTTTAAATGTATTCCTTAAAAATATGTTTTGCATATGAAGATCCTGAATAGACTTTTAACTAGATCAAAACACAGAAGACCTGCTAACTTTCAGAATTACTGTTAAGGATTATGACCCAGATTTTTTAAAGGTATCGCTGCACTCAGGATTGCAACATCTAACTGGTCCAGGAGCCTAAAATTCATTTTCAAAAGGGATTTAAGCATTAGGTGCCATCCCTTTTTAAAACGAAATTTAGGCTCCTCAATCCCAAGCACAGTGACACCTAAATACTTTTAAAAATCTGGACCTACGTACCTAATTCGTCCTTGTTTTGACTCCATTGGTGTCAGAGTTATACAGCATCTATGTACTTATTTAGCATACACATCGAACAATAAAATGTCAGGTAATGGGGCAGGGATGTATCTTTCTTAGCTGTCCCTTCCCTATGACCAGTTTATAAAAGGAATAATGAAAATTATGGTTGTACCCCCTTTTTAACTAAAGATCACTACAGAATAATAAGAGCTCTAAGTGTAAAACATGATAGCTTAACAAGGGCAGATAATTTTGCTGTAGACATATTCAGCATTCCCTCCACGATCAGTCTGAAACTAGCATTTAACTTTTCCTACTAATGAGTATGAATTGCTTTGAAACCAAGAGTGCAGGGATGTAGTACAAATCACTGGATCACAGATCTGAAAGGTTTGTTAGCTATGCAAGCAGTAACTCAAAACACTTTCACATGTGACTGCTACTCTTAATCTTTTTTAATTTAACTATAGAAGTGAATGAAGTTCAAATGCATTTGTAATGAGTGGTGCTATATAAGTGTTACCAGACTAAAAATCAGACAACAGTCCTACAGGCTATAGTGCCTAACAACTTTTAATTAATTTTTATTGTTTAAAAAGCATTGCACTTCGAGCATTTCTTAATCTCCCACACACTTGGCAACTATCACACCTGTATACTATCTGCCACAGGAAGGGTGGAGATCTTGGACTAGAATGCCAAATGTCTCATTAAGGTTGGATGTACTGTAAGAGTGTTTGCAACAGAGTAGCTCCCCCTTAATTAGGAACAGAGGAACTGCCATATCAGGTCCATGAAATCTAGTTCCTACCTCTGACACCTTGTATTTAGCTGTGATACTCTGAGTACCTTTCCCAGACCTGAAGAGCTCGGCGTAGCTCAAAAACTTGTCTTTTTCACCAACAGAAGTTGGTTCAATAACAGATATCACCTCACCCACCTTGTCTCTCTAACATATATGGTCTACTCATAGCTCCAGTCATTCTGAGAGCCCCAGTTCAATCCCTCTTTTATATGAAAATCTCCCATGCCTCTGAGAACACAGTATTCCAGGTGAGGGTGTACCATAGATTTCTACAAAGTGGCATTATAATATGTTGGCATTGTCTTCCATTCATTTTTATACATTCCACCTTTAAAATAAAAAAAAATACTGCTTCATGTTGAACGTCTATTTCGACTGAACTGTTCACAATGATGCCCAACCCTTTTTCCTGAGCAGTTACCGTTAATTTAGAACACAGTTAGGTGGAAGTATAGTTATTATTCCTTCTTATGTGTATTTGCCAACCATGATTTTTTTGCCATTGTACTGCCCATTTGTGAAACGGATAGGAGCCTCTGAAGTGCCCCCACATCTTCTCTACTGAATAGCCTAAATTGTGCATCATCTGCAAATTTTGCCACCTCGTTTTTCACTATTTCCCAGCTCAATGAATACATTAAATTAACTGTGCTAAAATAGATCTTGGGCCACCCTTCTGTGACCTCCCATGTAACCTTCTGCCACATTGAAATCTGTTTGCACATTCCTGATGTGTTCTTATCTCATAGCCAGTTTCTAATCCATGACAATACTTATGCCTGTCACCCCTGACTTTAACAGCCTCTTGTGAGGAACTTTGTTTAAGCTTTCACAAAGCCTTTGACAAATGTCAGATGGCTCTTGTTTAGCCACTATTTTTGACATGCTCCAATAATTCTAGGGAAGTATAATTTTCCTTTAGCCTATAAACCTGGAGGTGTAGATAAATGCCTCAGAATCTAGGCATTATGATGTACTACTGCCAGGCTATGGTACAGAACAAATGCTGTTACTTGATAGTTAAATGGATGCATTATGGGTGAACTAGTTTCCAATATTTGTACCCAAATATTTTAAAGTGTAGTGGAGGGTCTTCCCCCTCATCAAATGCATAGATAAAAAGCCATTCTCCCTCCCCCTCCACCCCCAATTCTAATTTCCACTGACAAATTTACTCTTAGCAGACTGAAGCTGCTGGCTAGGGATACAAACAGCAGTGACGGAAATCTTTTCACTCCAGCTTTCTTCTGAAGCATAAACTGATACAAAGCAAGCCAGCAATTCCACATTTTTGGGCAGGCCTTTAACTGCAAACATTGGTTTAAGCCTTGTGACATAGGGCCAAAGTCTGCTAGCCCAATTCTATTGGTTTCAACAGGGTTACACCAGCAGAAAATTTAGCCCTGAAAGCTATGGGCATAACTTAAAAGAATAATATTTATCTGCAACAATTAAGTGCAATTATTCCGAAGTATCTCCTGAAAGCTTTTAAACAGCCATGGGAGGCCTGCAACATACTTTCAAACTTGTGTACAACAGAAGTTATCGTAACTGATATCTAAATACTTGTATTACACTGATTGCTCCGGGGTTTGTGCCAGATCTTGGGAATGGCTATATCAAAAAGTCTTAGGCAAAAGGTAAAAGGTACAGATGACTGTTAAAGTTTTTGTCCCTAGATTTAAACTTAGGTAAATCACAATATTTGATTGGTTTTTGTAAAGGTGTGTTTTAGTTTGTTTTTCAAACTATACCATTCCACTGTTAAAGGTTTAAGAACAGAAGTACCAATGTCTTTCTAGCCCTTACCAAAAATAATTTTGTTTCTCCCCTTTGACAGATCTCAGATGTTTAGGCAAGACAAGGTAGTTCTTTAGAAGACAGACACTATAATTGCAGACTATTCAAAATTTAGGAAGAATTCTCCATGTTTTTTCACATCCTTAGGAACCGTTACAAGCAATGTTAGGTAGGAATTTTTAAGTTAAAAATTTGCCTCAACAACTGTAATTCTCCCAGGCTAAAATCCATTCCATTTGCACAAACCTGAATATTCCAGATCTAAGGTAGTGGAATGAAGTCTTTGCCAGGGCCAAGGCATGGGACTTTTGTAGAGTCCCTTCCCATTTGCGTTCCCCATTGGCAACTATTCCAGACAATGAGCTGGACCAGTGGACACAAAACCACCTCATCAGTTGTTGTGAGGGGTCCTGAGCAATGTTCACTCGCATTTTTTTCTGTCCATACACAGAATGGTTTTTCTTATGTGCAACAATGTCGAGGTAATGTGAGGATGTGTCCCACTGGTAGAAACCAAGGTGGATAGAAAAAATCAATGACTAGAATAGAGCTGGACAAGGAGAAGTCATCTGGAGATAAATGTGAGAAGCGAGGGACATATGCTTGTTTTGTTAAAATATTATATGTTTGATGTTAAAGGGAAAAAAATCC